TTTTTCATCAGAACTGGGAAGATTATAACAGGGTGACCTGTTATACAGTACACGGATAATCTAATGAACACTTTGCAAAAGTCCTTAAAGATAGCAGAGCAAAACTTAAAGGGTCCTCACAAAAAGCAGAAAAGCTGGTACGATAAAAAGGCCTGAGAAAGAACATTCTGTCCCAAGGTCAAATACTGATGCTAAGAGCCATAAAGGGGAATAAATTGCAGCGAGCATGGTCAGGACCTGTAGATTTGTTACGACAGCACTGGAAAGCTGAAGAAACTAGTATTAAGAAGGCTCAACATGCAGCTGCAAAAGCACTGGAAATCCTGCAGAACAAGCCCCTGCCTGAGAAACCAGAAGTTAATGGGAGAGAATCAGATGATGAAAATCTCAATGAATCTGAAATAAGGCAATTGTTTGAGATTTCACTTAAAAGGAACTTGCCTGTGAATTTTGAGGTGACCACCAGGAAAGTGGTCCACCTCATATGTAGAGCTTTGTGACAAAAGTACCTGTGGTCAAATTTATGGGTGAGGGTGAAGGTAAGAGTAATAAGATTTCAAAGAACGACACAGTCATAGGTGTTCTGGAGGAGTGGAAGAAACTGCCTATTCTTCCCACAGTTGAGAAAATGAAGCCACTAACCAAAAGGAAAACAAACAACCCAAAAGAGGCAAGCTGAAAACATCCAGTGGAAGTCAGAGTGGCAGGTAGCCTTTGATAGTCTGAAAAGGGCGCTGACTTCAGGCCCTGTCCTTATGGCACCAGACTTCGAAGACGAGTTCATAATCTACATGGATGCCTTAAATGTGGGAGCTGTGCTGTGCCAAGCAGATAACAACGGGAGTCCACATCATGGGTCGGGGAACAGGGGTAAATTACCCCAAGTGGGGTAAAAGTGAAAATCCTGGGGGTAATGAGCAGAGTGCTACCCCCTCCCTCCCTCCCACCCCCACCCTGTGCAGCCAAAGCTCAAAATGTAAGCCACATCTCCTTGTTACACCCTTCGTTGCAGCAGGGCACTTCTAAACCCTCCCTTGTTAGAGATCG